TGTAATTTGTCTGATATTTGTCTCTTGATTAGAACTGGGGTTATGGGTTTGGAGAAGGAAAAGGTAAAGTGACATTTTCATCATGGCATATCAAGAGGTACCTGCTATCAACATGAGTTGTCACTGTCGATGTTGAACTTGATCACCTGGCCATAGCAGTGTTCGTCACGTTTCTTCAACATAAAGTTATTCCTTTTCCTTTCCACACAGACTCTTTGGAAGGAAGTCACTATGCACAGGCTTCACTTAAGGAATGGGGAGTTAGGCTTCACCTCCTTGAGGGCAGAGTATGTCCATACCTTATTTGGAATTCTTCCGTATGGGAAATTTGTCTGTTCTTCCCTATGTATTAAATTACTCAGCCACTTATTTATATAAATGTAGAACAGTGTTTTTAACACATATAGTCAAATTTCATATTCCCCTGCCCAGAATCCCACAGTGGCTTCACACCACATTCAGAATGAAATGGAAACTCCTCTCCATGGCTTAGAGGCCCTGTATGGTCTAGACCAAGCTTGTCCAACCCATGGCCTGTGGGCTGTGTGCAGCCCAGGATGGCTTTGAATGTGGCCCGACAAAAATCCGTACATTTTCTTAAAACATTATGGGAATTTTTTGTGATTTTTTTTTTCTTTTTTTTTTTTTTAGCTCATCAGCTATCATTAGTTTTTTTGTGTGTGACCCAAGACAGTTCTTCTTCCAGTGTGGCCCAGGGAAGCCAAAAGATGGGATATCCCTGGTCTAGACTCTTCATCTCACGGTGCCTCACTCTCACCACAGCTTCCCCACTCCGTCAGCACTGACCTGAACACCCCAAGCCCAAGCAGCTGTAGGGCCTTGCATTTGCCCTTCTTTCTGCCCAGCAGGCCCTTCCTTCAGACCTTCACCTGGTTGGTTTCCTCATTTCATTGAGTTTCTGAGAGCCCTTTCATCACCACCTCATTTAAAAAGAATTTTCTGTCCCGGTTCACTGTTTCCTTACCCTGCATTTCTTTATTGCATTATCCCTACTGATGTCTATATTTACTTTTTGGGTTTCTTATTTTTCTGCCAGTGTAATCCGAGCTCCATGGGGGTAGGGCTATTCACCAGAACATCCCTAACTGGTAGAGCAGTGCCTGACACGTAGTAGGAGCTCAGGAAGTATCTGTTGAATAAATGTATGAACTACTTGTTTTTTTGAAGAAATCATCTTCATGTCTCTCTGGCCAAAGTGTCCTATGTCTTTATGAACTGGATGAACAAAGTGTCCTATGTTGTTATGAAATAATTCCCGTCTTTTTCCCTTCAGTGTCCTGAAGGCATTTTAGAAAGAGAGACTTGGCTTTTTTTTTCTTCTTCATGAGCACTATGGTGTTTAAGATTGTAAATAAAGTCTGAGTGCAGTAACTCACACCTGTAACCCCAGCACTCGGGAAGGCTGAGGTGAGCAGATCACTTGAGGTCAGAAGTTCGGGACCAACCTGGCCAACATGGTGAAACCCTGTCCCTACTTAAAATACAAAAATTAGCCAGGCATGGTGGCACGTGCCAGTAATCCCAGCTACTCGGGAGGCTGAGGCGGGAAAATCACTTGAACCCAGGAGGCAGAGGCTGCAGTGAACCGAGATCATGCCACCGCACTCCAGCTTGGGCGACACAGTGAGATTCTGTCTCAAAAAAAAAAAAAAATTGTACATAGATAAAAGTGCTAAGTTTCTGTTATTTGATGTATACTTGACTGTATTTAAAGTTTGATTGAGTGAGATATGCCATCACTGGACACTCACCACTGAGGAGTGCAACCTGCCATGTGCAGGTGGAGGTGCACAACAATGCCGGGACACCAGCTGCCCCTGGGGGAACTGCTGCCTCAGGATTGGAACCTTCCTCCACCCCTACTTCCTTATATTTGCATTACAGTGCTTCTGGGAGCCAACCAGTTCCTGATTAGGTATCTCTATTGATAATGACCTGATTCCTGTATTAACCTACTCTGTGGAAGATCCCTTGGCTTTGCAGTCACTCAAAACCAGAAAGGTTCTCTAGATACTTCCAGAGAAATGCCACAGGGCTTCTTTTCGTCGTCATATGAAGCAAATTTCTTTCGGAACTTACCTCCATCATTTTCCCTAGTCTCACTCTATTAAGCAACTGTTACTTTTAGCTCCAGTTTTCAGGAATTGCAAACCTGTTCTTCACAGCCAGCCTCAGTCTCAAGCAAGCTATTTTTCTGAAACTCAACTCAGGCTTTCACAAGACTGACTACAATATAGAAAATTTACTCAGTAGGCTGCCAGTCCATGCTTCTCTGGAGGAAGAAAACTCATCTTGGTTTTTTGGGGGTTTTTTTTTTTTTTCTTTTAAAAAGAAAAATACTTGGTAATTTGGTAAAAAGCCTCCTACCCAGATTTGCTATGCTGTTTTGCCCTTGTTTATTTAGAAGATGCCACTTGGAAAGATTTACTGAATCTTCAAGCTCTAGACAGGAGACAAGGTCTTCATGGTAGAACATGTTTCAGGCAGAGCCAAGAGTATACAGAGTGAAGCAGGGTCATCACGGAGCCCTCGGTGAGAGCTGCATTTCTGGTTAATCAACAAAAGGGAGCCACCACCTAGTCATCCCTTTTCCTTGTTCATGTTCATTGGCTACCATATTATTTCCCCCGCTCCCCCAGATGGAGTCTTGCTCTGTCACCCAGGCTGGAGTGCAGTGGCACAATCTCAGCTCACTGCAACCACCACCTCCCGGGTTCAGGTAATTCTCCTGCCTCAGCCTCCCAAGTAGCTGAGATTACAGGTGCCCGCCACCACACCCGGCTAATTTTTGTATTTTTAGTAGAGATGAGGTTTTGCCATGTTGGCGAGGCCGATAGGCCGATCTTGAACTCCTGACCTCGTGATCCTCCTGCCTCAGCTTCCCAAAGTGCTGGATTACAAGCATGAGCCACCGCGCCCGGCCTGGCTACCATATTATTAAAGGAGTTAACGAGCGTCCGAAATATCAATGGATATGCACATCACAACCACATAATTTCTCCACAAAAGATATACAGATGGCCAGTAAGCACATGAAAGTATGCTCAACATACTAGTCATTGGGGAAATAAAAATTGCCTTACAATGAGATACCACTTCACACCCATTAGGATGATGTGGAAAAAATAAAACCTTGATACATTGCTGGAAGGAATGTAAAATAATGCAGCCACTTTGGAAAACAGTTGGGCAGTTTCTCAAAAGGCAGTTACCATATGACCCAGTAATTCCATTCCTAGGTACATACCCAAGAGAAATAATAACATATCTCAACATACATGCTCAAAGCAGCACTATTCAAAACAGCTGAAAGGTGCTAACAACCCAAACGTTCATCAGCTGATGGATGGGTAAACAAAATGTGGTATATCCATATAATGGAATATTATTCAGCTATAAAAGGGAATGAAGTACTGATAATGTGCTACAACATGGGTGAACCTTAAAAACATTTTGCTAAGTGAAGGAAGATAGACGTAAAATGTCAATATTGTATGACTCCATTTATATGAAATATCCAGGATAGGCAAATCCATAGAGATGGATAATGGAGGTCGGGGCGAGGGAAGAGGGATGGAGAGTGACTACTTGTGGGTATGCTGTTTCTTTTTGGGGTGGTGAAAATATTCTGGAATTAGATAGTGGTGATGGCTTCACAACCTCATAAATGCATTAAAAACTACCGAATTGGGCCAAGCGTGGTGGCTCACACCTGTAATCCCAGGGCTTTGGGAGGCCGAGGTGGGTAGATTATTTGAGGTCAGGAGTTTGAGACCAGCCTGGCCAATGTGGTGAAACGCTGTCTCTACTAAAAATCCAAAAAAATCAGCTGAGCATGTTGGTGCACACGTGTAGTCCCAGCTACTCAGGAGGCTGAGGCAGGAGAATTGCTTGAACTTGGGAGGCAGAGGTTGCAGTGAACTAAGATCACACCATTTCACTCCAGCCTGGTGACAGAGTGAAACTCTGCCTCAAAGAAAAAAGTTACTGAATTATATGCCTTTAAAAAGTGGATTTTATGGTAGGAAAATTATATATTAATTTTTTAAAAACTCACTATTTGGAACTTGAAACCCACTAGGATGGTTAAAAGAAAAAAGTAGTAAGAAAAATAAAATAAAAATAAGTAAATAAAACAACAGGTATTGGTGAGGATGTAGAGAAATTGGAAATCTCATTTATTATTAATGCAATTGTAAAATGGTACGGCCACTTTGGAAAGCAGTTTGGGAGTTCCTCAGATGTTAATTACGATTATCATATAATTCAGCAATTTTACTCCTAGATGTTTACCCAAGAGAAATGAAAATAGACAAATACTTGTGAATGAAAGTTCATAGCAGCTTCATTTGTAATAACCAAAAGCTGGAAACAATAGAATACTACACAGCAATAAAAAAGAAGGAACTGCTAGGCCAGGCACGGTGGCATGTGCCTTTAGTCGCATCTACTCATAGGCCAAGGTGAGAGCCCAGGAGTTCTTGACTGCAGTGAGCTGTGATCATGCCACTGCATCCTGTATACCAGCCTGGGTGACAGAGCAAGATCTTATCTCAAAAAAAAAAAAAGAGGAACTACTAGTTCATGGAAAAACATGAATTAACCCAAAAAACATTATGCTAAGTGGAAGCCAGAAACCAAAGACTTTGTGTTTATATGAAGTTTCTAGAAAAGGCAGAACTATAGACAGAAAGCAGATGCATGGCTGCCTGAGGTTGGGGGTGGGAGTGGCAACTGGTGACAAACTTGCATGAGGGAATTTTTTGCGGTGATGGAAAATATTCTAAAACTGGACTGTGATGATTGGTTGCACAACTGTTTACATTTACTAAGACTCATTGAATTGTGCACTTAAAACTGGTGGATTTATGATATGTAAATTATATGTCAAAAATCTGTTTTTTAAAAATCAGTCAGTCTAGAACTCTGGGTATATTTGGATCAGAAAAAAAAACTTTCTCCACACTTCCCCACTTTAGACTCGTCCTCCCACTGACTTGAGCTTTAACTTTGATGCCAACAAACAACAAAGACAGCTTATTGCAGAACTGGAAAACAAAAACAGGTAAGAGCGCGGAGGCTGAGCCCACTTCCAAAGTCCAGGATTATCTGATTATCATTTTCCTTGGATACTAGGTGGCTTTTGACTGCCAAGGAAGACCTTGCTGTGGTGAACCTAGGCTAGCCGAAGTCCAGGGAATGCCCTGGGCACTGATTTGTGTCTGTCTGCTCTGGTAGTCCACAGCTCTGCTCACCTGCCCTCGGGGGATTCCTTTTAGCAGGGCCTTCTCCCACCCATCCGTGTGACCCCCTCTCACAATTGCATTTTTCACTCTGCTTCCCAGCAGCATTTTGCTGTATCTAGTCATCTTGTCCTGACCCATTATGCTATGTAGGACTGTCTGGTCTCTCCTTAAAAGAAAAAAGAAAAAAAGAAAAGAAAAACCATTTAAAGGCACAGAGAGCAGACAGCACACCATTATGTACTGAAAGGTAGAAGCCAGGTCGAGGAGACCTGACCTAAGGTAACAGGCGTAGGTAGAGGCAACACAGCTGTCCACTGGGGCATCGGGGACAGGGGGAAGGAAGGGGCAGGTAAGGATTAAGGGAAGTCAGCACAGGACCTGCGTTAGGAGGTTGCAAGGAGTTCCCTTTTCCTCCTTCCTGAGTGGAACAGAGGAAATAAAGTATTCTGGCTGTAATTTTCCTTTCATGGAGATTTTTCAGGTCCTTGAGAAGAGTATTTTTATGACTTTTTCCACCACAAAGGATTGCTTTGTTGAGGAAATGTCAGGTGACGCAGTATTGAGAAGGTGTCCATTTCACCTCTTGGCCATTTGGAAGCAATCAGAACAAGATTGGTAGAGGAGGCGCTGCTAGAGTTGAACCCTTGTAATAGGGAAAGAGGGAGCGTTAGTGAGAAGCACTGTGCAGCCCCTTTCCATTCACACGTCCTCTCCAGAGAGATCCTGCAGGAGATTCAGCGTCTCCGCCTGGAACATGAGCAGGCCTCCCAGCCCACCCCTGAGAAGGCACAGCAGAACCCCACGCTGCTGGCAGAGCTGCGGCTGCTGAGGTGAGTAGGGACACTCTACCACTTCCCACATGTAATCTGCTATGGATGGAACTTGTCTGAGGAAACCAAAGGAGTGGGGAGGAATCTGTTGTTCAGTATAAACAATCCTGTGAGAGCAAACCACTGCAGAGTTCACCCATTCTGTTACTGCTTCAGATGTCTGGGTTCCATTAGAAATCACTCTACGAATGTCAGCCATTATCACAGAACTTAGTAAATACCAGTCTCCCAGCTCCGGGACCAGCGGGGCACTGTTTATACTTCTGTGATTGCTTTAAGAAGACCACTGTGCTGCAGTCCCTCTTCTTATCTTGCTAACTTGTCTGACTTTGGAGACAGTTGGCGGGAAGAATGCGTTGCTTTTCCTGTGAGTATATTTTCCTGGCTCTTTACAGTCAGTGCAGGGCTCTGCCAAAGGAGAAGGATGCTTCCTGTGCACGTCTCTGAGACATGAAACCCTTGCACCATGGCTTCTAAATGAAGTGTCTCAAGAATCAGGAAACTAAGGACATAGAATGAGAATGGGATTAGAGAGCAGTGTTACCACCATGTGTGACGCTGTTTTGGAGGGAATGGGGAAGTCTTCACAGAAATGATCTGATTATTAGGGTCTTATTGCCTATGAGGCTTAGGGGAAGGGGTGTGTGTGTGTGTATGCACGCACGCGTGTGTGTGTGCACGCGCATACGTACACACTTCTGTAAGTTAAGACATTATGGAAACTACATTTAGTGACTTGATTCTCACCAGATCTCTAGATTTTCAAATAGTGGGTTCTTTCTGTTTAGGTTGATTTTTAGTTTGCTATTATCTGGGATTCTGTGTAGCCTCTTGTTTCTTTTCCCAGAGAATGGAGATTATTGTTTTCTGTAGATAGTTTAAATTTAGATCATCAATAAAAGTTGTCATAGTAGAGTCATAAAGAATTTAAACTGGTGCAGGTGAAAAAAATCATTAGATGTATAGAGATTTTCATTCTCCTAAAAATTTATTGTAGTTTCTTCATGTAGTTAGGCTGAGATTTGGGTGGCTCTGTGGTTCACTGCTGCACGTCTGGGGTGTTAGTACAGCTGGTGTCGTACTAGGGAGGATGGGAGCACAAATGTTGCTGACTTGGGCAGACTGTAAGTCTAGGCTGTTGGCATAAGATGCACCTGTTGTCTAGTGCCTGATTTTATATCTAGAAAAGCAAAAAGGCCTGTCATCCTGAGTCTAACTGTTGCTGAAACTGGGATTGCTGAAAATGCTCAGTTAAGCTGGAAGGATCTAAAAATTATCTTAGATGTCGTAGCAGGGCTAAGTCCAGGAATGTCACATAGGATAGCAAGAAGCAGGAATGTAATCTGAGACCAACGAGCGTCTGAAGGTGGAGAAATCAGAAAGTTTTTAACCTCAAAAGGAGTTCCTATATCACTGAAGAAAGGAGGGACTATTTTAAAGTGTGCTGGGACAGTTGTTTATGCCTATGTACAAAACATGTTGGTCTTCTACCCCACACTAATTACAAAAACCGACACCAGATGGTTTCGACATGAATACAGAACTTTAAAACTTCTAAAAGACTCGGGAGGCTGAGGCAGGAGAATTGCTTGAACCTGGGAGGCGGAGGTTGTGGTGAGCTGAGATTGCGCCATTGCACTCCAGCCTGGGCAACAAGAGCGAAACTCTGTCTCAAAAAAAAAAAAAAAAAAAAAATTTCTAGAAGAAAAGTAGGAGAATGTCTTCAGGATTTTGGAATAGAAAGTAGTATCTTAGAATTACCATGAAAGAAGAAGTTGGTAAATCCACTTATATTAATATTAAGAACTTTTGCTTATCAAAAGACACATAAAGGGCTGGATTCGCTTGTAGGTATCTTGACATCCATCTGCTTTTGATCAGTGTGTATGAGGCCTGGGACTGCCAGTACCCAGTTAGTATAATAAAACAAGGTGGACAACTTCACCCATAGGGTGAGTGGCTATGAGCCTTGATCACCAGGGTTGCCTTTTCTTCCTTTATTATTATTTTTAATGGTGTGTTGCTTACAATAAAATGTATGACAAATGTGCGTGTGACAAACGTATATGAAGCGTAATAGTCAAATGAATACTTATGAACCCACATCCTATTTGAGAACTCATATATGACTAAAACAATGTCATCCATAGAAGTACCTCTCCCTTACCCCATTTCCTTGCCTCCACCTTCCCCACTGGGTGAACCCCTATCCAGAATTTGGTTTATCATTATCTTGTGTTTAAAACAGTATTATCGCATTATCACTATCCTCTGTAATAAACTGTTTAGTTTTGCCTTTTGTTTTCTGATCTTAGTAGAAATATTGTACTAATATGGTGGGGATAGTCCCAGAGGACTTCCCTGTATACCCCCTACCCCTACCATATTAGCCTTTAGGATAATTCCATGTGGTTGGATGTAGCTGTAGCTCATTCATTTTCACCTTATACCATAATTGTTTGGTCACACACAGTACAGATAAAGAATATAACATCCAGGCTCAGGAGTTCAGGGAAGGAAATCTTCCTAGAACATTGAATGAGTAGGTCCTTCTTCTGGAGAGTCTACTGCACTGGAAGTTTAGGGAGTATGAAGACTAGAAGACAATGAGTCCTTCCTAAAAACTTATAATCTGGTTTTGGAACAAAACAGAAAATAATTTGGTAGTCAGTTAAATAATATTGTGCAATGTCAATAAACAGTATGGATAAGAAATCAGTGCAGAAAAATATATATATATAATATAATGTATATATACACGAGATATTTTACATATATAATACCTATATAATATAGATATTATATATATATTCATTCTCTACCACCTTTGTGTGTCTAATTTTCCTCTGGAAGCATTCGGACCCATGGAGGTGGTAGAAGTTGAGCTAGACCATGAAAAGTAGATAATGATTTGGATGGAGTGTAGGACAAAACATTTCAGATTGGAAGTGTGCTTGGGGTTCAGCATGATTCCCCCAAATAATTATGGCACATTTCAGAAAAGGGAAAGAGTCTTGGAACTAAAAATTTCTTTTCAATCATGCATTACATCAATCTTTAGAGTGCCAGTGATAGGAGATACAATTTGCCAGGCAATTGAGATCAGATTCTAGAAAGTCTTAATTGTTAGGTCATTGGAAACCCTTGGAGAGTTCCAAATCATGATTTTGGTAAGTTCGGTAGATGTTAATTAGGCGATACTGGATGCCTGATATTTTCTTCATCCTTCAATACATGCAGAGATGAGTAAGGCCCATCCCTGACCTCAAGGATTTTGCATCATGGTAGGAATGGCAGTGAGTAAAGTAAATTAAGTACCACTGAGGAGCACTAATTACTGTAGTGCTTAATCAAGCAGTCCCTGCTGCAGTGATCAGGAGCAGCTTCCTGACAGTGATGTTGGGTCAGACATTAAGGAATGAATAAGATTTGGAAGGTGAGTTATATAATTATGGAGCCCACTTAGGAAAAGTGAACCATAAGCTGGAGGTCCAGACACAAAGGGCATAAAATAGGAGGTGAGGTGCTAAGGATAGGAATGTAGATGGGATCTAGAGCCGCACTCTCCGATAGAAATGCAGGCCACATATGTAATTAAAAATTTTCTAACAGTCTCATTGAAAAACCAGAAAGTAATAGGTGGCATTAATTTTCATACTATATTTTACTTAACCTGATATTTTCAAAATATTATTCTTTCAACGTGTAATCAGTATTAAAACATGATCAAGATAGTTTGCTTTTTTCTGCACTAAGTCTTTACAATTGCTGAGCATCTCAATTCAGACTAGCTGTGTTTCAGGGGCTCAGTAGTCAGGCATGGCTAGTGGCTACTGTGATAGACAGCATAGGTCTAGATTGTGCAGGCAAGGGTCAGTGATACTGGAAATTCTGTTGCGATCATTATGGGACGATGAAATGAACATAGCTTTACTTTGAGCAGCAGTTTAAAGTTCATAGAACACCCTCATGTTTATTACCTTATATGATCCTCAGAATATTGTTGCTGTTACTAGTCCCCTTTTAGAGGAGAGAAAACTGAGGCTAAGTGACTTGTCTAAGGTTGCATATTTGCTAAATACTGGGACTGATACTCAACTTTGAGGCTGTTGACTTCTATTCCACTGCTTTTTCCTCACCATAAAAGATGAAAGAGCCAGTTGCAGTGGCTCACACCTGTAATCCCAGCACTTTGGGAGGCTGAGGCGGGTGAATCACTTGAGATCAGGAGTTCAAGACCAGCCTCGCCAACATGGTGAAACTCCATCTCTACTAAAAATACAAAATTAGATGGGCATCGTGGTGATGCCTGTAATCCCAGCTATTTAGGAGGCCTGAGGCAGGAGAATCGCTTGAACCGGGGAGGCGAAGGTTACAGTGAGCCAAGATCGCACCATTGCACTCCAGCCTGGGCGACAGAGTGAGACTCCATCACAAAAAAAAAAAAAAAAAGCAGGATTAATCACACAAGGAGACTGTTTGATGTTTGAGGAAAGGAGTGCTTAGATAAAGCAAGCGAAATGGGAATAGAAAGATAGGCACATAAATTTTCCAAGAAAGAATGATCTGAATTGAGTTATTGATTGAATATGGGATATAAAGAAGAAAGTAACAAAGAGGACTGAGTTTTTCAGCCATGACACCTGGAAGGAAAAATAGCAGAGACAGAGAAAAGAGACAGAGACAAGAAAAAAAAGAGACAGAGACAAGAAAACCATTTAGGGAGAAAAATCTTAAGTCTAGTTTTGGACATACTGAGCTAGAGTAGATGGTGTAAAATGTATCCTCAAGGAAAAGTGACTGTTCTTGGACACAGGGAGCCATCTTGATCTGTCACCCTTCTTGAATCTGTCTAGTATCAGAAGTACTTGCTACTGAACCCTGTTTTCTCTGAGCAGTTTAATATGGTTTATCTACTATTAATCTAAATTTGGGCTGATTTTATATATTTTTCGAAAAGCATTGACTTTCTAAAGAGTTTTTTGATCATTAATTCACTCTGGTAATATGAATAATATCTTTATATGGTCATGTAAACTTTCCAAAGCACTTTTACCTATGATTCTCAGAACAGTCCAGGAAAGTAGGCAAAACAGACATTATCACCATTTTATGAGGTATTGGAAGCTAAATGACTTGCTCAGCGTCTCATAACTGGTAAGTAGCAGGATCAGGTCTGAAATCCATTTCACCTGGCCTTAGATCCATCTTTGAGGGTCCCTTTATCTGATGGGCTTCTCCTCTTGGACAGGCAAAGGAAGGATGAACTGGAGCAGAGGATGTCGGCCCTGCAAGAGAGCAGGCGGGAACTGATGGTCCAGCTAGAAGAGTTGATGAAGTTGCTGAAGGTAAGAGCCCGCGGCCCACGCTCAGTTCTTGTCATTCTCCCACCACAGCCTCAGCTGCTACCTCCCTGTGATGTCAGAATAGGATGAGGCTAAAGGCTTGACTTTAGCCTAGAATCAGTTTTCAGATAAATTTCCATAAATTTAGCCTAATTGGGTATAAAAGTCATGTAAATTAGTGCAAAGCCAGATTATTTAAAAACTTGTAACTGGAAGTAGGATAACGTGTTGAGCAGTTGCTTTTATGAATACATAAGAATGTTTATAAATAGGATATTAGCTATGTACCAATGAATAATGTTTCTCAGCTACTTAAAGTGGTGTTTGTTTGTTTGTTTGTTTGTTTGTTTTGAGATGGAGTCTCACTCTGTCGCCCAGGCTGGAGTTCAGTGGTGCCATCTTGGCTCACTGGAACCTCCGCCTCCCAGGTTCAAGTGATTCTCCTGCCTCAGCCTCCCGAGTAGCTGGGATTACAGATGCCCACCACCACGCCTGGCTAATTTTTTTTGTATTTTTGGTAGAGATGGAGTTTTGCCATGTTGGCCAGGCTGGTCTCAAACTCCTGACCTCAGGTGATCCACCCACTTCAGCCTCCCAAAGTGTTGGAATTACAGGCATGAGCCGTTGCTCCTGGCCTTAAAGTTTCTGTTAAGACAAGTTTTCAAATATTCCACTTAAATACTTAACAAATATTAAGTGTCCTATTTCAATAAGTAGTACAGAGACAACCTGTATTAGGGTTCTGCAGAAAAATTGGACCAGTAGAGTATATATAAAGATATCTAAGAGGGGATTTATTATGGGAATTGGCTTACAGTCATGGAGGTAAAGAAGTCTCATGTTAATGCCATCTGCATCCTGGAGACTGAGAAAGCTGGTAGTGTAATTTAGTCTGTCTCTGAAGGGCTGAGAACCAAGGGAACTGATGGTGTGACTCCCAATCTGGGAGGTGGCTTGGGAGATGGGCGGTGTTGTGTTACTGGTTTAAGTCCCAGAGTCCAAAAGCCCAAGAACTTGGGGAGCTCACATGTCTGAGGGCATAGAAGATGATGTTCTAGCACAATAGCCCTTCCTCTGCCTTTTTCTTCTATCCAAGTCCTCAGTGGATTGGATGATGCTGCCCATGTTGGTGAAGGCAGATCTTTATTCAGTCTAATGATTCAAATGCCAGTCTCTTTTGGAAACACCCTCACAGACACACCTAGAAATTATGTTTCACCAGCTGACTATCCTTTAATCTGGTAAAGTTGATACATAAAAATAACCATCACAAAAACCAACCTAATTAAACCATTCTAGTCAGTAACTTTACTATGTTAGGAGTAAGATAGCATATTAGCTCTAGGTTTGGGATACTGGGGAACTGAATACATGCGTAATAAGTCAGGTCTATCTTGTGGTGTGATCATAGCTCACTGTAACCTTACTTGAGCTGGGTTCAAGGGATCTGCCTGCCTCAGCCTCCTGAGTGGCTAAGACTACAGGCACACGAGGTCTGTCTATTCTTGTTGAAAGCTATATTACAACCCCTTTACCCCTGAGCAAAGAAAGGCATGCTTGGCATTCGAATGCCCTACCCTGGACAATTTTATTGGAATTGAACAGAAATATCTACCTGGTTACTTGGCAGCAATACCAGGATACTTCCTCTTGCTATTACTTTCTCAGGTGCTGCCCAGCGATGCTGAGAACCTGCTGCATTTAGTAGTATACCGAGTTAACAGCCAGAGAAAATCACAAAGTGTGGAGTGCCCCCAAAGCCAGATGACAGGAGTGAATTTAATCTTGTGGTAAAGGGGAGTCATTAGAGGTTTTAAAAATAACAGTTTAGGAAAATACGCAGGACAAGTTAGAACAGGGAGAAACTAAAGGATAATAGGAGACTCAGTTCATCCTCCAGGCCCAAAGTGACAAGGATCTTAACTCCAGGAGTGGTAGCCCAGGAGAATATCAGTTTAGAGACTTTTCTCCAACTTGTGCATCCTAAGTCAGTCTCTTAGTAATGAAGCTAGTGGGCATTAGCAACTTGGATAAATGTAGAATTTGTGTTTTAAACTGAATTTTGACTTGCTCAAAACAGTTACTGTTTTGTCATGAGTTGAGTTGTTGTTGGTGGTGGTGGTGGTTGTTATTGTTGTTGTTGTTTTCCTCCTAGCTTTGGCCGTATTTGGGTTGTTTTGCATAGATATGTTTCTACATTAACCCTGTTAGCAGGATTTTTCCTCAGAAATATTTTGTGTCTAAATGGGTCTTGTTTAAAAAAAATCTTATGTAAAAATTTGGCCCAAATCCCTATAATAGTTGTCAGATATCCAGCTAAGCAACCTAGCCCCTCACTCTAAACAGCAGGGATGTACTTAAACATACATGGCTTGTGTAACATCTGAAGCCTCATAGGACTTTAAAAGCCCGGCTGCCATGGAGTTAGTACACCTGTGGGATGGGAGATATCCAGTCGGTATCCAGTCGGGTACAGTGGCTAACGCCTGTAATACCAGCACTTTGGGAGGCCAAGGCGGATGGATCACTTGAGGCCAGGAGTTCAGCCTGGCTGACATGGCAAAACCCTGTCTCTACTAAAAATACAAAAATTAACTGGGCATGGTGGCACGTGCCTGTAATCCCAGCTACTCAGGAGGCTGAGGCAGGAGAATCGCTTGAACCCAGAAGGCGGAGGCTGCAGTGAGCGGAGATTGCACCACTGTACTCAAGCCTGGGTCACAGAGTGAGACTCAGTCTCAAAAAAAAAAAAAAAAATAGGGGATCCACTCACCTCTTCGGTGTGTCACATCTCCCTTTTCAGAAAGATGTTCTCAAATATTACCCAAGCATAGATGGGAAAGTCCCAGTGCCCCAATGTGGTTTTTGTAAACTGAAGGCAAAAGGCGTATGTAAACTGAAGGGAAACCAGAGTGCATCTCCCCTAAGTAACCTTGTACCATCGCCTTTCAGTTGGATTGTCTTAGCGATCCCCAGAACTACTGACTCCAAGCCCCATGCATGCCACTGTGGCCTTCTAGTGTACCACTGATGCTTGTATTCAAGGGCTAAGCAGAATGAGCTAATGCCCGCAACTCTACTCCCAAACCTCGAGTTTCTTTATATTTGCAGCTGTAATCAGTAAAATAAGCAGGACACTGCTGCCCCTGTAGGATCCCCTGCCAGGTTCTTACCCATCTGACAGGCTAAGACTATTCAGACTGGGAGGAAGAATTTGCAAACACAAATCCGGGAATGTTGTCTTTCTATCCATTGGCTAGAATTCACAGTTGAAAATCTCATGCCTTTAGTGTCTAGCTTCCTAAAAGAATTACCACATAATCTTAATTTGTGTATTATATGCATACCTAAAAGTTCATACACAGGAATTACTGACTTCTATTAAAATTTCAGTGTTCTCCTGCTATTAAAAATATATATTCATCAACCCATAAAAGTACCCTTTAGAATCCTAATTTTAGGCCAGGTGCAGTGGCTCACACCTGCAATCCCAGCACTTTGGAAGGCTGAGGTGGGTGGATCACTTGAGGTCAGGAGTTTGAGACCAGCCTGGCCAACATGGTGAAACCCCATCTCTACCAAAAATACAAAAATTACCCGAGAATGGTGGCATGCACCTATAATCCCAGCAGGATTTATCCTCAGAAATACTTTGTGTCTAAATGGGTTTTGTTTAAAAAAAACTTATGTAAAAATTTGACACAAATCCCTATAATAGTTGTCAAATATCCAGCTAAGCAACCTAGCCCCTCACTCTAAACAGCAGAGATGTACTTAAACATACATGGCCTGTGTGACATCTGCAGCCTCATGGGACTTTAAAAGCCTGGCTGCCATGGAGTTAGTACACCTGTGGGATGTGAGGAACACAGGAGGTAGAGGTTGCAGTGAGTCGAGATCGCACCACTGCACCCCAGCCTGGGCGACAAAGCAAGACTCTGTCTCAAAAAAAAAAAAAAGAAGAAGAAAGAGAGAGAGAGATAGAGAAAGAGAGAGAGAGAGAGAGAAAGAGAGAGAAAATCCTGATTTTAATTTAAAAGGGTTGCCTGCTTTTATTGATGTTCAGTATGCTAGCATTTAATTCTCTCATAAAATAGCTGTAAGCAGTTAGTCAAATGGACAATCAAGGCACATGGTCTGGAATACTCATAAATTAAAATACATCACACAATAAATTTTCATGTCACAGGGAGTTCTTTCATTCTACTGCTTCAGGAAACTATTAGGTACTTTATCTTCTGTCTGAAATGATAATTTAAAGAAGCATACATAAGAAGTGTCATCATTGTTAATTCATTCAACAAAAATCTTAATCCTTTTTTGGAATAAGGCAGGGTTAAAATTAATTTTTTTGTTTATTTAATAAAAATCTGTTGAGTTCCTAAGTGTCATATTAGGTATTTGGAGTATTGTGGTGACTAGACCCAATCCCTGTCACCAAGGAGTACCAAGCTCCCTCCTTCTTTGTTTTTGGTTTTTGTCTGAGATGGAGTCTCACTATGTTGCCCAGGCTGGGGTGCAGTGGCACAATCTTTGCTCACAGCAACCTCCGCCTCCCAGACTCAAATGAGTCTCCTGCCTCCTGCTTCAGCTTCCTGAGTAGTTGGGATTGCAGGCACCCACCACCACAACTGGCTAATTTTTGCATTTTTAGTAGACAGGCTTGGCCTCCCAAAGTGCTAGGATTACAGGCATGAGCCACCCTTTATTCTTTTTAATGACGTGATGTAGACTGACACTTAGGCATTCATATTTCTCTTCATATCTTTCCTTTATACCTTTTTACCTGATTAATGAGTATTAATTAATTACTAGCCTCAAAAAAAAACTTACTGTTTAATCTAGAAGTGTTTATATGTTGGTGTTTCTAATCCATGTTCTACTTCATTTTCCATTTGTCTAATACTGCTTTTGAAACTACTTTACCAGGCCAGGTGCAGTGGCTCATGCCTGTAATCCCAACACTTTGGGAGGCCAAGGCAGGTGGATCACCTGAGGTCAAGACCAGCCTGGCCAACATGATGAAACCCCACCTCTACTAAAAATACAAAAATTAGCCAGATGTGGTGGTGCATGCCTATAATCCCAGGTACTCGGGAGGCTGAGGCAGGGGAATCACTTGAACCCAGGAGGCGGAGAGGTCACGGTGAGCCAAGATAACACCATTGTACTCCAACCTGGGTGACACAGTGAGACTCCATCTCAAAAAAAAAAAGAAGAAAAAAGAAACTCATTTACCAGATGAATTCTGCAGTTTTGAATTTCAACCTCATTTGCAAATGTTTATCTAGTTTGAGTGTAAATTTTTTTTTTTTTGAGATAGAGTCTCGCTCTGTCACCCAGGCTGGAGTGCAGTGGCATGATCTCGGCTCACTGCAAGCTCCGCCTCCTGGGTTCACGCCATTCTCCTGCCTCGGCCTCCCGAGTAGCTGGTACCACAGGCACCCGCCACCATACCCGGCTAATTTTTTTTGTATTTTTAGTAGAGATGGAGTTTCACCGTGTTAGCCAGGGTGGTCTCAATCTCCTGACCTCATGATCCGCCCACCTCGGCCTCCCACAGTGCTGGGATTACAGGTGTGAGACACCGCGCCCGGCTGAGTGTAAGTTTTTATATAAATGACTATAGTGGCTATGCCATTGCTTTGGCCACCTTGCCAGACCTCGTTCATGTGGAAGAGACTCACATGTTATTAGGTGACATAAGCAGTTCTAAGTTTACACTTTATAATTAAGGTATTATTACCCCCTTTTAAATCAACGTTGGCTCTATCCCTTGTCATCAGTCAATATTTAGTGATCCCAGCTGACTGGTTGATAACACAGAGGTTCTCAGACCTGGGATCTGACCTGCTTACTGTGTTGACAGAGCCTTAAAGGCTTTATCTGAATAAATTTTGTGAGTTTAAATTATACAACACTATCCTAAATAACACTTTGCCAAAGTCCACTCTCTCCCCAATACCAGGCCACATGGAAAGCCTATATGTCCTGGAAGCACTGCCCTGCCCACTGTCCCCAGCCTAACCTGATATATGTCTACTGCAAATTATGATTTCTCTTCTGACAAACTTAAATTGCAATCACCAGATGTCCAAGTATGAAACATTGCTTTCTGAAATTTCCCTATTCTGTTTAGCCACTGCAGTGTTCTCTTTAATACCAAACCTGGAGAAAACTGTGAAAGTAGAGAGATGTCTTAGAAACAGTTCTAAGAAATTACATACTAGTCTTCTGACCTCGGATACAATTTCAGCCTGTTAGGATTGCCCCATCCTTCCCCAACCGTCGCACTTTCCACTTCAACATAGTGCCAGCAATGAAAACACATTTTATAATTGTTTAATAACTGTCCTATGACTGTTTGCCTTGCCTCATGAATATAAGAAAAGTGTCCTGCCCGAAAGAGAGCTTGCTTCCTAACTGCGAAACAGGTGCAAAAACAGAAGCGCTCTGCCTCCTTCACACTGCCAGAGCCGGTGCTCAGCACTCTGAGCCTGGGCTCCTGTGAGTTTGGCTTTGGTCAGGCATCCAGCATCTGGCTTTGATTGTGAAGAGCACCTTCCTGTGCTGAGTTGGGAGTCTCCTTAAGAGATTTCTCAGTGCCCATTTATTTCTAGTCCCTGTCTCTCCTTTGCAGTAATAAAAATTATGTTCTCCAAGTGCTCACTCACCCTCTCCCTTTCGTAATTCCTCTGCTTTACTGAGGTCTTTCTCACCATTGCACCCAGGTCTGTAGACTGTGTGGGAGCAGGAGCACTTACCCATTCCTAAGACTTCCTAGGCACATACATGTTCAGTAAAGACTGGCTGCATGAATTGGTCCAATTTAAATAGAGCCATTGCACAGCTTTTAGATTTACTAGGCCAAAGAGCTGAGGCTCCCTGACCACAGTGACCCATGGTGAGGCACAGAAAGAGGAGGTGGAAGAGACCCATTAAAAGACAGAGTAGATGAGTAGCAAAGAACTGAAGAAAGAGAAACTTGAAAGTATTCTCTTTATCCTTTTTCCTACAGTGTCTGATAGTGCGTTCATTTGGGCAGTCAGCTGATAGCCAGCAAGTGCCTGCTCTATGTTCCATCACCATACGGTTCTAAAAGACAGAGACCGGCCAGGTGCGGTGGCTCACGCCTGTAATCCCAACACTTTGGGAGGTCAAGGTAGGGGGATCACTTGAGGTCAGGAGTTTGAGACCAGCCTGACCAACCTGGTGAACCCCATCTCTACTAAAAATAAAAAATTAGCTGGGCTTGGTGGCACATGCCTGTAATCCCAGCTACTCAGGAGGCTGAGTCAGGAGAATTGTTTGAACCCAGAGGTGGAGGTTGCAGTGAACCCATATCGCACCATTGCACTCCATCCTGGGCAACAAGAGTGAAACTCTGTCTCAGAGAGAGAGAGAGAGAGAGAGATTGATTTAGATGACAGAGACCATTTCTTTATGTTTCCAGTGCTTTCTGCACAAGAAGTACTAAATAAACCTGTACTGAATTAACGAAAAACTGAGGTCAAGAATTCTTTTTTGAATGACCTTTCAGGGTCTCCAAACAGTTTCTGGTTTATTGGGGGAAGTGGGTATGTATGGGACTCACTGGAAAAAAAAAAAAAAAAGTGTGCCTGAAAGCAGGTAGATGGGGGTACAGTTCCAACATGTTTAGTGTGGAGAGGGGACCAAAGAAGAAAAGAACCTGTCGTGGGCAGACTGCTAGTTGGGAAGTGATGAGAGCAGTGGGTCTCAGACTTGTATGCACCAGAATCAGACAAGGTTGAATGCATTGCCGTGCCCCACCCCTAGAGCTTCGGTTTGGTGGGGATAGGGTAAGGCACGAAGTTTACATCTCTGACAAGTTCCCAGGTGATGCCGATGCCGCTGGTCTGTGTTCCATGCATCGAAAACTACTTGCCTGGATAAATGTACCTAAACACATGTGAATATCATGAATGATGAAATAGAATTACTATTAGAATTTCAAGTCATGGTTGCACTTCCTCTTTCAGATTCCCCTAAACAGCTATGTGAACTGTAGGCAGGTCAGGCCCTCTAGGCCTGTTTCATCTACAGTAAGAATGTTGGCAAGGTGGTTTCTAAGGTTCTTTCCTGCTAGCTCTAGGAGTTAGCATTGAATTACTCGCCGGGCCGAGGTCTGCTGCTTGCTTCGTCCTCTGATGCTCCTGTGGGGGATGGGGCCTTTGATCTCAGCACCCATGGGCCTGGCCTGGTTTGTCTGATTTTTCTATCATTTCTTCCCAATGTTTGTGGTGATGGGCATTAATTTCTCTCCTTTTTTCCTCTGCCTTTTTTTTCATCTTCAACACTCCAGGAGGAAGAGCAAAAGCAGGCAGTAAGTGAACTTCAGAATTTCCCGCTGGACTCTCGCTCTTGTTGCACGTTCTTTCTTTACTCATGTAAATGTTTCTCCTCTTCTCCCAGCACATCATCTCTGAAGAGGGTTTTACGTGTAAAACTCCCAGTGGGTCTCCCCATGGTGTTGTAAAATGGTCTAAAAGTTCAAAGCATGTTTACCCGGTAGAGCATGTTCTTACTTAAAACCAGAGCTTGTAAGTACCCATCTGTTGTGAGCATTGAAGTGTGCATGATTAGCCAGGCTACCATTGCATTTTCCTGCCTTTCATTCGCTGTTGTTTTGTGTCTGGAGTGATTTTAATTCCTTGAAACAACTTTCGGGGTGCTGGGGTGACCTCGTGTCATGAATGAATGTGCATGAAAATGAGGACTTATTTTGCTAACTATAGATGTCGTGCAGTCTTGACTAGGCTTCTGGATGCTGGGGCTGTGCCAGCCTTCTTAACAAAATTACTGACAACGACTGAGGCACTGACTCCACTTGCAGTGATTTCCTGTTCAGAACCTACTCCAGAGGGAGCTCAGGTTTTTCTGAGCTGTGTGGCTGCTGCATGGTGTTTGGGGGAGGTTTATGTTTGTTTTTGTTTTTCCCGATAGCCACTGACCCACACAAGAAAGTCAATTGCAGACTTATCTACAATATTAGCACCATATGTTTATATAACATAGTAAGGTTTCAAAGCATACATTTTTTAAGCTGAAGCTGAGTTTTTGTTTACCTTGGAGCTTTTTGTCCTTCGGGAGAGAAATATAAAACGTTTAATTTTTAAAATTTGCCTTTTTTTTGAGACGGCGCCTCGCTCCGTCGCCCAGGCCAGAGTGCAGTGGCATGATCTCGGCTCACTGTACCATCTGCCTCCCCGGTTCAAGTGATTCTCCCGCCTCAGCCTCCTGAGTAGCTGGGACTGTAGGCGCGCACCACCACACCCAGCTAATGTTTGTATTTTTAGTAGAGACGGGGTTTCACCATATTGGCCAGGCTGGTCTCGAACTTCTGACCTCATGATCTACCTGCCTCGGCCTCCCAAAGTGCTGGAATTACAGGCATGAGCCACCACGCCCAGTCTACCCGTTTTTTTAAAAAAACACAAATGTATACATGTTTTAGGTTAGGAATATAAAACATTATACTTATAATTTCTAGCTAGGAGAGCAATGGGACCATAGAGTAAAGAGAAAGGAAAGAAGAGATAGGTAGTGAGGGGAGGAGGCGAGAAGAGGGTACGGAGGAGGCAGACTGTCAGAAAGGGAGAAAGAAGATGGTGCATGGCATCAGGAGTGGCCGACAACCCAGAAATCTGATGGCTTTCATGGAACCAAAGTGCACTTGTTTAGGTTTTTGCTAGTTTTGGTTCTTTTTTCTTCACTCACACAGAGTTTATTGCTTCCATCTCTGGCGCTTCTGCATCAGTAGGTACATTTACATGGGCAAAGCAGAACAGGATGGAAATCAAGCCCAGCCATTACATGCTGCTTCCAGGAAGTGACACACATCACTTCCTCTCCATTTCATTGGCCAGAGCAAGTCACATGACCACACTTCACCTGAAGGGGGCTGGGAAGTCTAATCCTCCAGTTTGTCCAGAAGTCCCAGAGAAGCAGATGTTGGAAATACCTCCCCCAAGTAGACGAATGAGTGAGACTGTTGGAGGAAGAGAAAGGAGACTAGTTATCCTTCCAGCTCCTGATAGTCTCATCCCCTTGTTATGAAGTATTCCCTTCCTAGTGATCCAGGGTGTCACTTCACCTGTTGTTGCTGATCACTAGTGTCCCCTACTTCTCTTCAGCCCTCCATACCCCAGAGATGCACTTTGCAGCTGCAGCAACTTGCTGCAAATCTACTTCCAACAGTCTGCCAGACTAGCACAGCATCTCCTGATCTCTCTCTGTGTGCACCTGCTTCAAGTGAGCAGACTGGAAACACCCTACACCTCACCTGAAAACTCTTTCAGAAGAGGGCAAGCATTGTGGATATTGATCTTAGTGGTAGCAATAGAGCTTCCAGTAGACATTTCATTTAAAAAATTTTTAATCCAAGAAACAGGAATTACCACTGCTGTGATATTAGTTCTCAGGTCAATTTAAAGCTAGTCTTCACTATAAATATTTGCTGAATGATAACCAGTATTAACCAAATTTATAAGATTTTGACTTATAGTCTGTATGAATTAATAATTGTATTAATTATAAGGGACATAACTAGTTCACGTACCTATAGCAGTTATTTTGCCCAAGGCACTCCCAGATAGATCCATTCAGGAGACTAAATTATAGCTCAGAAATATCCTTTATAAAAAGGAATCTGAGCCGGGCGCGGTGGCTGACACCTGTAATCCAACACTTTGGGAGGCCGAGGCAGGTGGATCATGAGGTCAAGAGATCGAGACCATGTGGCTAATGTGGTGAAACCCTGTTTCTACTAAAAATAGAAAAAATCAGCTGGACGTGGTGGTACGCCTGTAGTCCCAACTACTCAGGAGGCTGAGGCAGAAGAATGGCGTGAACCTGGGAGGCGGAGGTTGCAGTGAGCTGAGATTGCGCCACTGCACTCCAGCCTGGGCGACAGAGCGAGACTCCGTGTCAAAAAAAAAAAAAAAGGAATCCGATTTCCCAAGAAAGCAAATAATAAAAATAACTTTTTTAAAAAGGAATCTGAAAAAATTTTATATTACTGAAAAAAAAACCAAGCTGATTAGTATTATTATTAATATTATTATTTCTGTGTAAAGAAAATACACTGATACGTAGCATAAAAATCACCTTATCTTTTAAAGATAATAATCTATAAAATGCAGGATATCTATAGTTATTTGCATCATTTGAAAATATTTTGAACATTTCTCAGTAAAAGTCCAGTGCTTACAGTCAGAAATATGGTTGTAGGATTCATCAGCATGTTACAGAGGGGACACTAGGGTCACCACAGACTGATTAGGTCCCTACTGGCAATGGTGTTTATGACCATTGGTGCACTTGAGCTATGGGCCACTCCGGTCTCGATCAAACAATATCCCAGTCCTAGTCTGGAAAGAGTTCAGATGTACAAGTTCACTCTAGGAACATTTTAGGGTTCCATTTTTCCTAGCGACTCAGTGCACCATAAAATTTCACTGCTGGATCTCTAACACCACATTCACTGAGCTATCCAAGGAAATGGGTTCTGTTTATTCATGAAGGATGTGTTTCCTGCAACATTTGTCTGATCTCTCCTATTAGAAGTTAATTATCTAATAATGATCATCTGGCCTAAAGACTGTAACTTTATATACATTTTATAGAACATTTTATATAATGATCATCAGACTTAAAGACTGTAACTTTAGACAGTGAAAGTTATGTAAGAATAGGAAGCTCCTTTAGGGTGGCCTTGGCCCAGCTTAGGTAGTGGGGCAGTGGTCCAAAGGGTAATATACCTGGCACTCTGAAAATAATGTAATTAGTGGAATATTGGGGAATTGGCTAAGAGAACATTGCCACTCTTGGGACCTTTCCTTTTTCTTCAGTGAGTTTGGCTATCACGTGGGATCTTGCCATCATGTCCTGTCTGATTTCCAAGACCCAGACAAATATCCAGCTACAGCTGTACCAAAGAGAGCAGGTTTGGCCTGGCTCCAGGAAGCCCCCATTTCTGATCACAGCCTACCTAATATGCCTCAAAGGAAGGGCACTCAATGTTTAGTTAGCAATGGTCGACCCACAAGGGCTCACATGAACCTCATGAATATTAACTTTGTAAGTTTAAGAGAAAGTACTTTCAAAAAAACAAGCCTATGCGACAAGAAAAAGAAACCTCCTCTTTGTCCATTAAAGAAATTGTTGGTGAACCCCTTGATGTCAGCATGCCTCATGGGTCACGTTCCCGTCTTAGCCTTTGGATACAGTCTCACTGGGAAGCGATTCAGATTCACATGCTTCTGCAGTCTTCTGGGCTCCCTGGCTCTTAATCCTCTGAAATAGAAGCCTGAGTCTACTTCCCGAAAGGCAAAGGATTGCCATTCATTTATTTATTTAGCAGTGTTTTACTATATATGTTCAAGGCAGTGATCCTGGCCTTTTGGAGGTTAAAAAGAGAAATCGTACTCAAAAACCACCATCAAATAGTCTGAAAGTTATTTCATGGTTGACATGATACTCTAAATGCAGAAACTAAAAATAGAAATCGTACTCAAATACCACCATCAAATAATCTGAAAGTTATTTCATGGTTGACATGATACTCTAAATGCAGAAACACAAGCCGGGTCAGTGGTTTCCTGGGCCTCAGGCACCACTGTGGCCCTCCTAAATTGGCAAACTATACAGACGTCTGTTGGTAAGTGAGGACTGCTGTGCTATACATAGGACTCTCCCACAAACCTGTAGCCTGGTCGCAGTCTCAGGATAGGTGCATAGACTGTCTGCCAGTGTTAACTCCCTCCCACACATGGCCTTGCGAGAGTCGGCAGGGTGTATTCATCCATCGGCCTTGGCACCTGTACTCACCGTAGGGACCTGGCAGTTTGTTGTTATTTTTTTTCCAAAAAGAGGAAATATCACTACAATATTAAAAATAGGTTTGGCTTTTCTTTTTTTCTTTTCTTTTTTTTTTTTTTTTGAGACAGAGTTTCGCTCTTGTTGCCTAGTCTGGAGTACAATGGCATGATCTCAACTCACTGCAACCTCCGCCTCCTGGGTTCAAGTGATTCTTCTGCGTCAGCCTACCTAGTAGCTGGGACTACAGGTGCACGCCACCACGCCCGGCTAATCTTTGTATTTTTAGTAGAGATGGGGTTTCGCCATGTTGGCCAGGCTGGTCTCAAACTCCTGACCTCAGGTGATCTGCCTGCCTCAGCCTCCCAAAGTGCTGGGATTACAGCCATGAGCCACTGCACCCAGCCATGGTTTTTCTTTATGATTAAGTATAAGTTTATTTGAGCCCAAAGCTTGAGGATGGCCCCTCCCAGGAGCAAAGATTCAAATATACATTCTGATTAGCAGCAGTTGTAGTGAGTTTAAAAAAAAAAAAATGAAAAGGCAGTTCCTAAGTTGTTTACCAAGAACTTACATTAAAGTAACATAAGCAGGGCACGTGTTCTCAGAATCTCCTGAGGTTGTGTCACAGGCCAGATAAGTTTTTTAAAAATAATAACATAAGCTATTGATTATGTATACTTTGTTCTTTTTATCACAGATTCCAGGAACATGAAGCTAATGAGTGAAGCAGCTAGTCAGGAACAAAATGCCTTTAAACCATTGCCCCTCCGACATGGCAAGCGGCGTGTCTGAAGCCCCATACCTGTGTCTCTCGGGACCTGATCAATTTTGAATACCTGATATAATTCAGACTTCCTGGAGTTATTTTTGTTCTAATTTCCCCTCTTTTCATCAAGATCTTTCTAGGAAAGCATCATAGATGAACAAAAATGGTTTTGGTTCCTTTTATGTTCAGGAACTTAGTCTTGTGTAGCCAGAAGGCTCATTCCCGGATGGTCCTGTCTTGCATGGTGGGGATGGGAGATGGGTGTTTGTATTTCACTCCCCCAAAACTCCCTGAGTACCAAACAAGAGTCTGAGGATACAAGGGAAAAGTAGCTTTGGGGTGTATGCCAAAGCCCCCCAATATTTTTAATCACTCTCATCAATGTCAGGCTGAGAGATTTCCTTACCTACTTCTTAAATTTCCCTCCTGTACTATATTTCTGTCTTTTCCTCTCCTGACCAGAATGCACACAGCATATGAAAACCATCCTTCAGGGCCTCCAAGAAAATTATCTCCTCAGCCAACTGGAGGAATTCTTCCACTGGAAGAATATTGAATTCCTAGGACACACTGCCTCCCCCAGAATACTACAGACTGAATCTCAACAAAGCATTAACAGAAAAGGATGAAGAAAAATGACTTGTAGGCTTGGAGCCTAAGAAGAATCTGGGGAAATGATGGGTGTCATTTACTGAACAAGTGAAAATAGAGACATGATCTGGGTTAGGAGGGGATTTCGATCTGATTTTGAACATACTATTATGTCCTATAGCCAGGCAGTCAAGCAGAAAGATCTGCTAGGTATTGGACATGTGCGACTGAAATTTCAATGGGAAAACAGGGCTAGCAATGTAGACCTGGAACCCTTCAACACAAAATGAGGATTGAAACCATAAACATGAGCCTTAGGGAAAACGCATAGTAGACAAAAAGAAGAAAGAGGAGGCAGGAGAAGGACCGTCAGGTCTTTTGGAAGCCCAGATAATTGCAAGAAGGAGGAATTTAGTAAGACAGTAAGACAAGAAAGCCCGTGAATCTGACAATAAGGAAGTTACCAGCAACTTGGGAAAGAAAATGTTCAGTAGAGTAGTAAAATGCACCCAGCTCTCAAAAGTGGGCTTTGTCCTGTCTGAACCCCTCAACACCACCTCCTGTCAAATAATGTCACCCCACTGAACGGAGATGTAAATCTTAAATCTGTGAATTACACGTGAATGGACTGCCCTTCCCACTAATCGAGTCTTGTTGGCTAAATCCCATTTCTTTTTCATCTAAACAAGCACGTAACCTTTACAAACCTCATTTTCCTCGTCAGTAAACTTTCAGCTCCACAATTCTTGGATCCTTTCATCATTGTACCAATTGGTATTCTGGAGAAAGGCTATAAACCTAAAAGAGTCTCCAGAGATCTTTTTGGGTCCTGGCCTATAGAGGAATGAATGAATGAATGAATGAATGAATGAATGAATGAATGAATGAATGAAATCCAGTTGGGTTTATTTCACTGAATTCTCCTTTCCTGACTTTGAAATCCTGTGGCCCTTACTTCATTGTCTGGGTTTTCTTTCAATAACTTCTTCCCCAGGGTTTATTCATACCAGCCTCCCACCTGCCACTTTTCCAGATACAAGAAAGTATCCTAAGAAAACATCAGCTGCATCCCTGATGCCCTTCTCCTGTGGCTCACCTGCGTGATTCTTGGCCATGTCTCCAGCAGGACAGGTTTCTCTGGCATTCTTCCTCTCTGCTGTGCCTCACCCCAGCCTCTTCTCTCAGCATGGGATTGTCTCCATAACCCTTCACTCTGAGAGCATCTGGAGGCATTTCGTCAAATCATGAAGCTGTACCAGTCTCTAGGGTAACAGGTTTTATAGCTGACCCTCAGGTTGGTTCTGATGTTCCATAGTAATGGTAATGCTAAGGTTTGAAGCGTCCTTTATGGAAAAGAACGTCTGCTTAGTTTCAGCTAAAAGATGCATGTTATAACAAGTACTGTAGACTCTTTACACTTTTCTCCATTTACTCTTAATCATGGTTTGGCAGTATGCATTTGGAGCTGCAATATAGATGCCCTGATGTTTAAAAAAAGAAAAGTAGAAAGCTGTTTTATAAAATTACAGGCAATGCAGTTAACTGTAGCTGAAGTGGTACTGTTTTTTTTTTTTGTTTGTTTGTTTGTTTGAGGCAGAGTCTCGCTCTTGTTGCCCAGGCTGGAGTGCAATGGCATGATCTCCACTCACTGCAGCCTCCACCTCCCAGGTTCAAGTGATTCTCCTGCCTCAGCCTCCCAAGTAGCTGGAATTATAGGCATGCACCACCACACCCGGATAATTTTTTTGTATTTTTAGTAGAGACAGGGTTTCTCCATGTTGGTCAAACTGGTCTTGAACTTCTGACCTCAGGTAATCTGCCCGCCTCTGCCTCCCAAAGTGCTGGGATTGCAGGTGTGAGCCACTGCGCCCGGCCGGTCTCAAACTCTTGACTTCAAGTGATCCACCTGCCTCAGCCTCCCAAAGTATTGCTACTGTGCCCGGCCAAGTGGTACTTTGTTAATTTTTTTTTAAATTTCAATAGCTTTTGGGGTACAAGTGGTTTTTGGTTACATGGATGAGTTATTTAGTGGCGAATTCTGAGATTTTGGTGCACCCGTCACCCAACTAGTGTACATTGCACCCAATACGTAGTTTTTTATCCTTCACCGCGCTCCCAACCTCTCCCTTCTGAGTCTCCATAGTCCATTATATCACTCTGTGTTTTTGCATACTTATAGCTTAGCTCCCACTTATAAGTGAGAGCATACAGCATCTGGTTTTCCATTCCTGAGCTACCGCACTTAGAACTGTAGCCTCCAGGTCCATTCAGGTTGCTGCAAAAGATATTCCATTACTTTTTATGGCTGAGTAGTATTCCATGGTGTTTATATACCACGTTTTCTTTATCCACTCATTGGTCGATGGGCCCTTAGGTTGGTTCTGTATCTTTGCAATTGTAAATTGGGCTGCAATAAACATATGTGTGCATGTGTCTTTTTCATATAATGACTTCTTTTCCTTTGGGTAGATACCCAGTAGTGGGATTGCTGGATCAAATGGTAGGTCTACTTTTAGTTCCTCAAAAAAATCTCCATCCTGTTTTCCATGGTAGTTGTGCTAATTTACATTCCCACCAGCAGTGTATGAGCATCCCCTTTTCACCACATCCATGCCAACATACACTGTTTTTGGACATTTCGATAATGACCATTCTTGCAGGAGTAAGGTAGTAATCTCATTGGGGTTTTGATTTGCATTTCCCTCAGGTTAGTGATGTTGAGCATTTTTTCATATGTTCGTTGGCCATTTGTATATCTTCTTTTGAGAAATGTCATGTCATTTGCTGAAGTGGTACTTTTATTATAGTAAGGATCCATGCCAGCACACCACTGCTCTGCACAGATGGCTAACCATAGACTCTTCAGTTATTTTATTATTATGTATTATTAATTTAAGTGTATATACAATTCTCTGTTAATTGCTTTCACAGTGCAAATTTCAACTCCAATTTTTAACCTGCTCAGACCTCAGAAAATCACGAGAGATTCTAGGAGACTGTCAGATCTGTAGCCACCCCAGGATATCCCAATGTGCAGAAGATACGGCAGTCTATTCTTGGGTCCCTTAAAGGTCTAACTAACCTGAGGCTGCTGGCTGCCTGCCCTTCTTTCCACAGCAGCTCACCACCCAGGAAAATAGCCCTGGGCAGACCATTCTCTGTAGGACCTCATGACTAAGTCGCCCTCAGCCATCCTTCTCATTCTCAGCACTAGTGACATTTGGGGCCAGATAACTCTGTTTTTGCAAGTAGTTGTCATAGGTGTTGTAGAAAAACATATGTGTTTTTTTTGGTAGAGATGGGATTTCATTATGTTGGCCAGTGTTGGCCAAGCTAGTCTTGAAGTCTTGAACTCTTTTTTTTTTTTTTTTGAGACAAAGTTTCACTCCTGTTGCCCAGCCTGGAGTGCAATGGCATCATCTCGGCTCACCACAACCTCCGCCTCCCAGGTTCAACCAATTCTCCTGCCTCAGCCTCCCAAGCAGCTGGAATTACAGACATGCTCCACCACACCTGGCTAATTTTTTTTTTTTTTTTGTATTTTTAGTAGAGACAGGGTTTCTCCATGTTGGTCAGGCTGTTAAGGATGTTTAGCAGCATCCTTAACTTTACCCACTAAGCGCCAGTAGTAGCCGCTACTCTCAGGCCCCTATCAAGTAAAATTGCCCCCTTGTTAATTGGAAGCCCTGCTCTGAGTCCAGAGAACCTTTCTCTGTGATACCAGTATGAGCCTCCCTGGCATTCTCAGAACCCCTTATTCTGAAGTTTGGCTATGGGAAGGGTGGGACCCTACAGATCCCTCTTCTGCACATATTTCCTGCTTCTGTTGATGCTGTTATCAGCACTGCCGTATCCCTGCCAGCCATCGCCAGCCTCCTGCTCTTCCCTCTCAGTTGCCAACTTCTAGTCCATTTTTTCTCCCAAAAGTTGCTCTCCCTCTTTCTATTCCTGTACCTCATTCCAGCCTCCATTATCTGTCAACTAGTTTTGGAAAAGCCTCTTTATTGATAGAACCCTGTCTCCAGTCTCTCGTTTCTCAGTTCCTCCCTGCCATTGCCCAGAGCTCGATTCCTGAGCACAGACTAGACTGGCCACATCCCTCCCCTCCTTAGAAACCTTCACTGGCTTCTCTTGCCTTTGCCTGTAGCAGGAGTCAGCAGGCATTTTCTTAAAAGATTAGATAGTAAATATTTCAGGCTTTCCAGGCCAAACCAGATATTATGTAGGTACTATATAACCATTTAAAATGTAACCATTAAAAACTGTAAAAATCATTCTTGGCTCATGGTCTGTTAAAAAAAAAAAAAAAGACAACAACAACAAAACAAAAAGCAAAAAGCAAAACTGGTGGTGAAAAAAAGTAGAACATTTTATTTATTTATTTATTTATTTATTTGAGATGGTATCTTCCTCTGTCGCCCAGGCTGGAATGCCATGACGCAATCTTGGCTCTCTGCAACCTCCGCTTTCCAGTTCAAGTGATTCTCTTGCCTCAGCCTCCCGAGTAACTGGGATTACAGGCGCCCACAGCCACACCCAGCTAATTTTTGTATTTTTAGTAGAGATGGGGTTTCACTGTGTTGGTCAGGCTGGTCTTGAACTCCTGACCTCAAGTGATCTGCCTGCCTTAGCCTCCCAAAGTGCCGGGATTACAGGTGTGAGCCACTGCACCCAAGCCAGAACATTTTATTTTGAATGGTGGTTAGTTGGGCCAAGCATGGTAGCTCATGCCTGAAATCCCAGCACTTTGAGAAGCCGAAGCAGATGGATCACTTGAGCCCAGGCATTTGAAATCAGCCTGGGCAACATGGCAAAATTTCATCTCTCCAAAAATACAGTAATTAGCCAGGCATGGTGTCACCTACTCGGGAGGCTGAGTTGGGAGGATCACTTGAGCCCAGGAGGTCAAGGCTGTGGTGAGCCACGATCTTGCCACTGCACTCCAGCCTGAGTGCACTCCAGACAGAGCAAAACTCTGTGTCAAAAAATAACAAATAAAAAAATAATAATGGTGGCAAGTTGGATTTTCCACGGGTTGTATAGTTTTCCTATCTGTGGCCTATTATTTTTTAGTTTTTGGGAGAGTTTCACTCTTGTCACCCAGGCTGGAGTGCAATGGCACGATCTCGACTCGCTGCATGCAACCTCTGCCTCCTGGGTTCTAGCAGTTCTCCTACCTCAGCCTCCCAAGTAGCTGGGATTACAGTCACGTGCCACCATGCCTGGCTAATTTTTGTATTTTTAGTAAAGACGGGCTTTCACCTTGCTGGCCAGGCTGGTCTTGAACTCCTGACCTCAGGTGATCCACCCACCTCAGACCCTCAAAGTGTTGGGATTACAGGTGTGACGGACCGTGCCCAGCCCTTATCTGTTGTCTGTTAAATAAGCTGCTCATTTACGGCTCTGGCTGCTCACCGTCGCCACTTCTCCTTTACTTCTCCTCTCCTGCTACAGGTCTTCCCTGTTCCTCACACTCCAGCCTCATCTCTCCAGCCCAGTACCCTCGGTCATGTACTGTCCCCTGCCTGGTTTGCCCTTTCCAAGCCTCTTCTGCCCATTGCAGTTGTACCCCTCGAGATACTCTCAGCTGCCACCTCTTCTACCAAACTTAACCCTGTTCCATAACATCAGGCCAGGCTGCTTTTCCTCTGTTCCTCTACTGTGGCCCCTATTTCATCCTGTTTGGTGTGCTGGTTGCATACGTACCTGACTCCCTCGGGATAGGTCTGCTGAGAGTGGAGACATTGCCTCAGCTGCATAGCCCTCTACCCCTAGTACCTTTCAAAGTAGAAGAATAACAGGTATCACTCTATGGACCAAGTGTGTGGAGTGTTTCATGTTCATCCTCACCAACCTGAGAGGGTAGATATTGTTATTCCCACTGTACATATGAAGAACCGTAGGTGCAGACAGGTTAGGTAATTGCTGAAGATCACACAGCTAGTAAATGGCAGCCGGAATCCAAACTAGGTTCATCGAGGCTGGGCACAGCAGCACACGCCTGTAATCCCAGCTATGAGGGAGGCTGAGGTGGGAGGATCACTTGAAGCCAGGAGTTTAAGACCAACCTGGGCAACATAGCAAGACCCCATCTCAAAAAGAAAAACAAAAACTAGGTTTATCCAATTGCGAAGCCTGGACTCTAACCACTATATTATATATAACAGGAACTTAACAAAGTGCAGCGTGTCCTTGTTGAATAAAGGTGCCGTACCTCACCACACAAGTTTGGCTTACCTATAAGTAACATTTACATTAAGCTCATTGAATTTTAAAACCCACTGATAGGTCCCAGCTGCCTTCCTGCTAATAGATTTAGCTGTCTGAATAAGGACCGCATCCTCCTGAGAACCTAGCCTAGCCTAGTTTTTGTTTCTAGTATGCAATCTGAGTGTTTGGCATTCATTGTATAGGTATTTTTCTCTTGATTGGTGAGGTCTCTCATCATTTTGAAGAGAACTGGCTTTGAAATCTTGCAGTGAAGACTAGTGGTATACAGGTCAGGCGCAGTGGCTCACCCCTGTAATCCCAACACTTTAGGAGGCCAAGGGAGGTGGATCACTTGAGGTCAGGAGTTCGAGACCACCCTTGCCAACATGGCGAAACCCCATCTCTACTAAAAATACAAAAATTAGC